GGGAGGGAGAAACTTTGGAATGACATGTAACCCTTAAAATTATCAAATAGTCACTTGTCTTTTCCCAAAAAATGTATGAATGCCCGTTTTTCTTCAATTTTATCGTTGCCCATTGTTGGTTTACTATATATATAATAGAGCAGAATATTATGCTTTGAAAATTACCTAGGAATGGAAAGCATGCAAATAGCCTATTACTTTATTAATATAAGATAAAAGTATACATAAATATATAGATTTCGAAGGAAAATTTGGGATTGTAAACCAACAATGGACTACTAAACATACTAGTAGTCCCGTATGTTTAGTCGTCATTAATTAAGGACTAATCACGCCACAAAAATCTACGGGACTACTAGTCCCGTAGATTTCAGGTCTATTGCGAAATGTCTTCTCAACTCCTCATACTTCTTCCTCAACAAATTCTAGGATTCTTTTTTCTAGTTCCCATTAACACGGTTGAGGCTCACAAGCCCATTGCTTGTATTTAAAAAAAGCTTGCGATTGAAATGTAAATAGCGTACTCTATCCAAGTTCAAGTATTCAACCCAACAATACCCAAAAAAATATGATTTTGGTGCCTTCATCAGCCGGTCTTGGCCAGCATCCATGGAGACTTCAGTTCCAGCAGCTGCTGCCATTGTGGCATTTTAACAAACAGGTTGAGGGCAGTTCGAGAAGAAAAATAGAAAGATTGGAATTGAATTCTAATTTTTGATATCTGTACAAAAGTGTTCCAGGTACATATAACAACGTTTTCATTCCTAAACTTGGTATGATTCCTAAACCTGGTAAGAAGATATGTTAGGTAAGTCCTAGATAATGTAGGATATCTCCTAATTATGATACACCAAATATATATACAAATCAACACTCCCCCTCAAGTTGGCGCATGTACATCGTGGATGCCCAACTTGCCTAACAAAAATTGAAATTGTGGCCTCGCTAGCGCCTTTGTAAAAGTATTTGCTGGTTGGAATTGAGAATGTAAATGAGTTGTGACGATGTTTCCTGTTTGAATCAGCTCGTGAATCTAGTGACAGTCAATTTTAATATGTTTGGTCCGCTCATGAAAAACTGGATTAGCCACAATGTGGATAGCAGATTGACTGTCACAAAACAACTTCATCGGTTTACGATGGTCCACCAAAAGGGAAGTCAATAGAGACTTCAGCAATACAAGCTCACTAACCGTGGATGCCATGGCTCGATATTCAACCTCTGCTGATTATCTCGAGACTGTGCTTTGCTTTTTTGTTTTCCACGACACTGGTGACTGTCCGAGCATAATAAAATAACCAGTGACCAATCTCCGCATAATAGGATAGCTTGCCCAATCTGAATCACAATATGCACGCAATCTCAAGTTGTTATTAGCTCGCAACAAAATTCCCTGACCTTGTCTGCTCTTAAGGTAGAGTATAGCATGCAATGCAGCCTCAAAATGTTCCTTGCTTGGCGCCTACGCAAACTGTGAAAGAACATGCACTGAATATAAAATCTCAGTACGTGTAATTGTTAAATAAATCAAACATCCCACGAGACGCCTGTAGGCCGCACCATCATCAGCTTCCTCCCCCTCAGCCAAAACAAGTTTTTGGTCTTGTTCTATTGGTGTTTCAACAGGCTTTCCTCCAAGCAAGCCGGTTTCGACTAGAGTATCTAATGCATATTTTCTTTAGCACGAGAATAATCCTTGTGATGATCTTGCTACTTCGATGCCAAGAAAGAACTTTAACGGCCCCAAATCCTTTATGTGGAAACATTCATTCAAGTAAACTTTGAACTTCTCACAAGCCTCAGAATTATTCTCAGCCAAGATGATATCATCCACGTATATTAGAAGTCTCATAAAGACTCCATTTCTATGAAAGGTAAACATGGAATAATCGGCTAAGGGCTGAAAAAACCATATCTATTGAGTGTCGTCGTCAATTTGTTGAACTAGTTGTGAGATGCTTGACGTAACCCATATATGGACTTGTGAAGTCGACAAAATCGATTGTCACGATCAATTTTAAAACCTGGAGGAAGCTTCATATAGACCTCTTCATTCAAATCATCATGTAAAAACGTATTATTCACATCCATTTGGTGCAACTCCCATCCTCGTGCTACAACCAGTAACAAGAAGACTCGGACTGAGACAAGCTTGGCAACTAGCGCGAATGTCTCGTGAAAATCAAGACCTTTGACCTATGTGAACCCTTTCGCCACAAGTCGCACCTTGTACCGCTCCATGGTACCATCTGCTCATACTTGATTTTGAAACCCATTTGCAGTCAATGGGTTTCTTCCCTTCGGGCAATTTCTCCAGAGTACACGTTCGATTAGCCTCTAATGCAGCAATCTCCTTGGCCATTGCCTCTCGCCATTGTTCTTCTTTGATGGCCTCTGCATAACTTCTTGGTTCCACCTTCAAAGTGATAGCTACCAAGAATTTCTGATGTTTCTGAGATAAATTATCAAATGTTACATAATTTTCTAAGGGATAAGGTGTACCTGAGGAGCTTTCATGTCGCGGTAGCTTCGAAGGGGGGTAAATGTGACTACTAGTTTCCTGGTTTTCCACCAGATCCTCCTCCAGATCTTTTGACGGCCCCGTAATAATGGAGTAAAGCACATAATCATCAAGTCGGGCTAGTTGTCGAGTCGCTTATCATGGCATATCAATATATCCTTCACCTCGAACTACAATTTCGTGGGATGCACTCAGACTGCCCCTTGATTCAAGCTCATCATCTTGACCTATATTCTGCACTTCTATCTCATTCACAATCTCAATACTTTCCTCTATTTCCTCGAACAGTTCCTCCCATCTTATGGGAATTTCGCGAAAGTCTCGAGTGATGTTTTCTTTGTCATAAGAAAATAGGAAAACATCCTCATGAAAAGACACGTCCCGAGAGTACAAAAAAGTTTTTTGTTCAAGGTCGTATAACTTCCAACCTTTCTTACCATGAGGATATCCTACAAACACGCACCGCCGACTTCAAGAACCAAACTTGTCCTTCTGCCTAGAATTGTTATGTACGTAACACAAACATCCAAGCACCTTAATGTGTAACTTCCAACCTTTCTTGCCATGAGGATATCCTACAAACACGCACTGCCGACTTCGAGAACCAAACTTGTCCTTCTGCCTAGAATTGTTATGTGCGTAACACAAACATCTAAGCACCTTAATGTGCTCATATGATGGTTTTGTGCCAAACAAAATCTCATGTGGTGACCTTTTGTGCAATTTAATAGTAGGCGTTCGGTTAATCAAGTAAGTCGTTGTCAAAATACACTCACCCCAAAATTTGATTGGCTATGAGGCCTGAAAACATAATGCTCTACTCACCTCTAGGATGTGTCTATGTTTACACTCGACTCTTCCATTTTGTTGTGGCGTGTCCGTGCAATTGGTTTCATGTTTCATGCCATTTTTCTTATAGAATTCTCGCATTGGCCCCTCGAATTCCAAACAGTTATCAAGCCGAACTCTTTTCACAGTTTTTCCAAATTGTGTATTAACAAGTTTACAAAACTCCTTGAGTAGCTTACTAGCCTCACTTTTCTCCCTCATCAAATATATCCAGACCCCTCGGCTGTAATCATCTACAAAAGTAAGGAAATAATATGCACCACGCGAAGAAGGTTTCCGATACGGTCCCTATAAATCACAATGAATCAATTCAAAGCAATCAACTGCATTACTATTACTTAAAGGAAAAGGAGAACGCGTCTGTTTTGCTCTATAACAAGTATCACAAATAACATTGTTCTTAAAATTAGGATGACCAATATCTGGAATAAAAGAAGGACAAATTTTTAAAAACACCCGTTTTTAATATTTAAATAGCAAAAATGACCCTTTGGGAAAAATTAGCAAAACCGACCCTTTTTTTAGAAAACGAGTCGGTTTTGCTGTTATTGTGATTTAACGAAGTGTACGGGACTACTAGTCCCGTACCCTTCATTTCAAATGGTCGTTTTTTGATATTTAATTATTAAAAGTGGGTGCTTTTAAAAATTTGTCCATAAAAGAAAGGTGTTGACTAGATTGATGTCCCAATCACTGATGCTAGACCGTATTTGAGTCCAACTTCTCTGCCTTCATCGTTGAATGTGTCTTGACATGTTTGTAGTAGTAAACCCGTAACCCCCCCCCCCCTCGAATCTCACTCGCTCCAATTGGCATCATCGAGGTACGGTCCTGTATTACACAAAGCTCATTACTAAACATGATTTGACAATTTATTGCAGAAATTAATTGATGTATGGAAATCAAATTGCAAGCTAAATTTCGCACGTAAAGAACATCAATCAGCATCATATCCGGACTTAAAACATCGTTTTGGCCCCATTAGGTAAGAAAACCAACATCGGAGTTGTTTCCCTGAGATCACTCGGTAAGTCTCTCTTACCGGTCATATGGTTTGATGCTCCGCTGTCAAGTATCCAAGTGGGGTTTCCAAGATCCTTACTAGAGAGCCTCCCCAAGCCTTCACCAGAATGATCAAGGAGAGTCGGTGAAACTGCTCATGAGAAAGACCGGGGATGGCAGAACTACCTCTTCCTTTGACCGAAGGTGCCGTAGCTATTGCGTTGACTTGCCCACGTCCTTGATGACCTCGGCCTCCGACTGAGTTGGTCTGCTCATGTCCCTTCTTGGCTTTGTAGCAAGCCGGATACCCATTCAACTCGAAATAGTCTGAAACTTTATGTCCAGGCTTGTTACAATGCGAGCAGCTCTTCTTGGCTCCACCACGTTGTCGTGGCCCAAACAAAGGGTCGGCTCCACCGCATAGTCGTTGCTCATGCAGAGGAGACCCTCTTCCCCTTGCTGCGGTTTGCACTACCACGGCGACCGCCTCGACTCTCTCCTCTTGACCACACACAATAGTTCGGTGTCGCTCCTCTCGTGTGATTAAGGCATAGGCTCTGTTCATGGTTGGCAAAGGCTCATACTGAGGATTTGAACCGGATTGTCCCAAAAGGTGTGTCATCTAGTCCTATGAGGATTGGTGCAATTTCTCCTCCTCTTTCTCTCGAAGAAACTCATGCGCCGCTCCACATGTGCAAGTTAGGACCTTCGAGTAGCTACTCAACTTGTCCCACATCCCTTTTAATTTTGTGTAATACACCATGAAGGACGTCCCTTGCTGTCGTAATGAAGCAATCTCGCTCTTCAATTCATGGATTCGTGGCGTGTTCCCAATTGAGTAACGATCTCTTAGGTCATCCCAGACTTCCTTCGTAGTCTCCAAATACACGACATTCAGCTGAATGGACTTCTCAATCGAATTGAAAATCCATGATATCAACATCGAGTTGCAAGCCTCCCACTTGCTTGCCTTTGGTGTATCTTCATCAGGTTTTATCAAGGTTCCATTGATGAACCCTAATTTATTCTTCACCTTCAGCGCATTTACCATTGCTTTCTCCCACATATCATAATTGTCCCCGTTCAAGAGGCACGTCGTCACAGACGCACCTGGATTGTCGAATGGATGCAAATAAAAAGGTGATGACGGGTCTATCATCTTCTTTGTCGCTTCAGTGGCCATGAAGGAGATCGATTTGATCCTAAGAACAAGAGGGTTAACCGGCAACGACGTTAAAGAATAGCCAGCGGCGGCCTGAATATGCAAGGGAGGAGGTGACGGTTATGGGGTGGCTAGGGTTTCAGATTTTGAAACCTCGCTCTGATACCATGAAGAAAAACAGAAAGATTGGAATTGAATTCTAATTTTTGATATCTGTACAAAAGTGTTCCGTGTACATATAACAAAGTTTTCATTCCTAAACTTGGTATGATTCCTAAATCTGGTAAGAAGATATGTTAGGTAAGTCCTAGATAAGGTAGGATATCTCCTAATTATGATACACCAAATATATATACAAATCAACAGTTCGCAGAACACAAGCGACTGCAAGAGCCATCGATGAATGAAAAGGGAGCAATAGAGCTCCACTGCTGAAAGGAACAAGAGACCTTCGTCCTTCTTCCTCCTAACCGCGAGTTTCCGTGCTAGGAGTAGACGAAGAGGCCCTTTGACAGGCGACAGATGTCGGCAGCAGCCATCAAAATTCCCCTCTGTGTTGCTAGAGGAAAGACCAAGAGCGAGCTCAGTCGTGTCTTCTCCAAGGCTTCAATTGAGATATTCTATCCTCTGGACTTTTTTGCATTTTTGTGTCTCTCCATTTTGAGCCACATAAATGGGGTATAGTTATGCTTATTTGACTTATAACATAACCGAAATCTACGGGACTAGTAGTCTCGTAGATTTTTGTGACGTGATTAGTCGCCAATTAATGACGACTAAACATATGAGACTACTAGTCCTATGTTTCGAGCATGCTGTTTTTTTAAAATCGATATTTTTTTAGTCTGTTGGCTAAAAAGAGATCGATTTTACTAAATAATAAAAAAAATAATCGATTTTACTAATTATTTAGCAAAAAAATATCTTTTTAAAAAAAATTCCCTTTTGCTAACTAGTAATCCGTCAAGTAAAACTACTGGTTCAATAAGAAAGTTTGTCAAAGTTTTACTTTGCCAACTTTTTGCAGTGTTGCGATGAGAAAGCGCGTAGGAAAAAAAAAGACAGAGAGAACAATGTCACGTGACAGCTGGCTCCAAACCCAATGCCCAAAAAAGGAAATGCAATGCATGCATGCAGGCGCTTTCCGCCCACCCGCCACCCCGTGCAAGCGGGTAGGTGAAGATGCCAGCCCATAACCCACTCAAATCTCACGCTATAAATACCCAGCCCAAGCCCATCCGACCCTTCATTGCCTTCTCATTGTTAAAATTCTCTACTCGCAGAAACATTTTGTCTGAAATAATTTGTTGGGGAATTTAAGGATGAAGCCCCTCACTGCCACCTTGGCTATTCTTCTCCTTCTCTTCACTTCCTCTTTTCTCCAAGTTACTATGGCTGGCTCAGGTAATAACGTTTTACTAGATTTAGCACTAATTAATTAATATGCAAGGATTTTTTTAGCGTACATACATCAGTATATATAAAATGTTTTATTTATTGCTAATTTAATTTTACAATTTCCGTTTAGCCTCCTCAAAACATATATCTAGAAAAAAAAATTCAAGAGAAGCGAAGGAGATACATTTTAAGGACAAATTTTCAAACAAACCCCTTTACAATAATAATCGCAAAAAAGACTCATTTGCAACTTATTTTCAGAAACCTACATGGTTTCAGCCTCAGCGCTGAAACCAGGTCGGTTTCTGAAGAAAAAAAATTCGAAACTTCACGGTGAAGTTTAGTAAAGCTTACTAAACTTCATAGGAGTTCAACCCCGTGAAGTTTCGGAAATTTTTTTTCCAGAAACCGACCTGGTTTTAGCGCTGAGACTAAAACGATGTGGGTTTCTGAAAATAAGTTGGAAATGAGTCATTTTTTGTAATTAAAAATCCAAAGAGGACTGTTTTAAAAATTTGTCCTACATTTTAATTCAAAACTTCCCTCATCTTTGTAAATGGATGGGATCTGTAATTAGTTAAATTGTTATTTATTGGCTGGGTTTTTTTTTTTTTTTTTTTTGGGTGGATATGCAGCGTTCTGTGACTCGAAGTGCAAGGTGAGGTGCTCAAAGGCTGGGGTCCAAAAGAGGTGCCTCTACTTCTGTGGGATTTGCTGTGAGAAATGCCACTGTGTGCCCCCAGGGACTTACGGGAACAAGGATGCTTGCCCTTGCTACAGGGACCTGCTCAGCTCCAAGAAGACCCCGAAATGCCCTTGAACTATTATACCTCCCATCTTAAATTTTTTAGTTAACTTAAATTAATTACTACTCTTGTATTTGCACGCTACGTACTATTAGTAAATCTTAGTGAGCGCTAGCTATAGTTTGTACTGGGGTTGATGGCTTTATCTTGATATATTTGTGCCGTGAGCTGGGACTTTAATAATCTATGTAATATGAATGTATGATGAGTAGTTGATCGTGTGATATGTTACGGCTTTCTTCCATGCCTTCAGCCTTCCTACTTCTGTCATACTCTCTCTTTGTTGTATCAATTACTCTAACGACAATATAATAATTTAGAGCTAGATATTATCAGAACCTCGCATGGAATGGGGAATCTATCTATGCCGTTCATGGGTGGATAGAGAGTTGGTTTGGTAAGTTTAGCTTTTATCTTTATGGTTAAAATTACAGATAGGATTCTTATATTCTTTAGTTTGCATCAGAGTTTTCAGAGAATGAAGTTACCAAATTTATCATTGAGAAGCGTTTTCCCAGAGAATAACTTTTTGTGCAACTCCTTGAGACATCTGAGTGGATTGTATCTATTTAGAGGGTGTTTGGTTCACTAGTGGGCAAGAATAGAATTAGGAATACAGTTTTTTTTTATGGATTCTTACCTATTCTATAAAAAAATTTAAGACAAGTTTATAGATTCATGGAATTCTTTTTTTTTTCTTTCTATGTTTGTTTTGTAACATGAAAAGATGAAATTCAACTTTATAGAAACCCTCCAATTCCTAATCTTTAGTTTGGTTTGGAATGAGAAAATTTTAGGATAAAGGGTGAGTTCCAACGGCTAGTATAGCATAATTATTCTTATCCGTTTGACAATATTCAAACCGCACAATCCGAGGCAACACAAGCTCATGTATGAGCTTCAAAACCGATAGCAATAAACCCAAAGTAAATGAGCAACGTATGCTCCACCGACAACAACATAGCCAAAGCAAAGGAGCGACAAAAGCTCAAAACCTGAAGGCAATAAACCCAAAGCAAAGGAGCTGCAAAAGCTCAAGCAGACATCAACAAAATAGCACAATCCGAGGCAACACAAGCTCATGTATGAGCTTTTAAAACCGACAGCAATAAACCCAAAGTAAATGAGCAACGTATGCTCCACCTGACAGCAACATAGCCAAAGCAAAGGAGCGACAAAAGCTCAAAACCTGAAGGCAACAAACCCAAAGCAAAGGAGTTGCACAAGCTCCACCTGACAGCAACAAAACAACACAAACCGAGGCAACACAAGCTCATGTATAGGCTTCAAAACCGACAACAATAAACCCAAAGTAAATGAGCAACGTATGCTCCACCTGACAACAACATAGCCAAAGCAAAGGAGCGACAAAAGCTCAAAACCTGAAGGCAACAAACTCAAAGCAAAGGAGTTGCACAAGCTCCACCTGACAGCCAAACACACCCACCGAACCCATCGACAGAAATCAAAGCAACAACCAAATACCAAGGTCGAGAATGGATCACCGACAAATAGCGTCAAGCCTCGTCTTTGAAAAATAAATCGAAGAACGGTTCTAGAAGAGGCGCGAAGAGGATTGAGATGAGGCGGGAGAAGATTCGCGGGAGAAGCCGAAGCCAACAAAACCCACCGAACACTAGATCAAGTTCGAGAAGGGATCACTGCTGCACAATGGCTGAGCCTCGTCTAGGAAAAGGAAATCGAAGAACAACCTAAGAGGAGGCGCGAAGAAGATTGAGAAGAGGCGGGAGAAGAATAGCGGGAGCGGCCGATCCAGATCTAGGGTTCGTCGTGAAGAGGCGGAATCCGAAAAAGAAAAGAGAAAGGGAGAAAGTATGGGTTGTCAGTTTTTTGACACAAATCCTAGCAATTGAATAGGATTTGGGTTTCCATAAAAAACCTCTACTGTTGCAACTTTATGGATTTTGAAATCTATAAAAAAAAATAAACCAAACTTAGATTAGGATTGATAAAGAATCCTTTATTTACGGTTTTACCCCTGTCAGCTTCAAATCCTATTCTTTTTTCATAAAATGAGTGAACCAAACACCCTCTTAGTGTATGAACGAATGCGGTAGACACCTAGACAACATTGTTGACCAGGGATAACAGAGGCCCAATTTTGGTCAGGGATAACTGAAGCTCAGGTTCAAGTTCAGGATATGCCATGTCAAAATAATGGAATCGTACAGCCTGAGAACTTGTGGCTCGGCTTTAAATTAACCGATTAGAATTCTCTTAAAAGACTAAATAATAAAAGAAAACACAGGTATTGGGACTCGACCGGGACATCAAAAGGTTAAACAAAAAAAGAAAAAAGAAATGAAAAGGCAATTAAACAGAGAAGAACAGGAAAATGGATAAAACTCTGAACTGTTTTCATCAGTTTGACAAAGTAGATCACGCAACACTTTTGTAGATATAATAACACTTTCATCAGTTTAGATGACAGAAGAATGCATCATTGGCAACAGACATTAGATGCAATTGTTAAATTCAGATAACAAGATAAAAAACACTAAAGAGCTGCTGTAGTGAACATTACCACTTGCATCAATAAAACAAATATGTTTGATACATTCACATTAGCCAACTCACACGAGTAAGATGCTTTCAATTCTGCAAGCTACTGCCACAAGAGATGAATTGTCCACGCATCCGGGCATCCCCCACTACGTGTACGTTTAATCGGCCGCGCCCCCAACAAAAACAAAACAAAAAAAAGGGAACAAAAGAGAGGGACGTGCAACCATTTCATTTTATTGATCTAAATTTCACAATGCAGTAAATAGTAAATCAAAATTACAAGGCTTTAGCTTTCCTGTCTTCCTCTACTATCTACATTTACCAACTGTAAGTACATTATAGTAACCAAATTAATATCTATAATCAGCAAAACATGAAGAGCTGTTAAGTACAGGGAGTGAGGTTTTTGCTCCAATAGATCTTCTCACACAGCGCAAAATTTTTTAGCTTACTTGCACAGGAGAGCCAAAAAGTTACTTCCACATGAGAAGCACACTTGGGAAAGGCAAGCTTTTCCTCATAGATCCAAGCGAATAATAGTATATGTGTATGACTCGAAAGAAAGAACGTAATTTACAATGGTGTGAGCTCTTGTTCAGAAATGGCAGAATCCACAGGCTTGTATAATATACCGGCTCCATCAGATCTCTTCCTCCAGATGTGCAATGCTAATATAACTGAGAGGATGAGCACAATAGCTACTAAAATTGCCACCATCACCGCCCAAACATGAGTCTGCAACCATGTCCTGAAATTACAACATATCTTAGACAACAATTGAAATTAAGCGAATGGATTTGGTTAGGATGAGGATTCAAGAGTATTGGTTACTTCTAGATATGATATTTTGATATCTTTTAGTTCTTTTGGGCTCAACTGAGATGAAGAAAAATCTTGTTAGATTAATTTTGGTCCTTGGATCTAATAATTTTGGACAACGAATTTTCTTTTAATTTATTAAAAGTAATCTCTTAGCCTCAGAACAAGATTTGTATCGGTGAAGATATGTAAGTCTTCTTTAAGTGAGGAAGATATAGCACTAATGAAACTGAAAATTTATGACACTTCTTTGTGATTGAGATGATCAAAATCTTGTTTTAAGGTGTGTGGAAATTCTTTGCAGATTAGAAGCCCAAACGAAAGTCATGAAGCCATTCATTGACCCTAAATCCTATCCCCCCCCCCCCCCCCCCCGCCCTCCCAAAAAAAAAATATTCTCTTGTGCTTTTGATCTCTCACTAGTAAGGTTCATGATTCTATGCAGTCTGCAAAAATAGATTGCAAATATGATATACATTCTCCTGTTCATATACACGTTCAGTGATCTATATAAGATCTAGAGCTCAACAGGATCCCAACTTTGGCAGATGTTATCCTTCATGATGTTTGTGACTCTAATAATAGATCAATTCTAACTTAAAGATACCACATTAGGAAAAACATTTAAATTCATATAATGACTTATTGCACAGATGGTATGAAAAGTGTTCCTCCATGAACTTTTAAGAATATATGTGACTTTTAAGAATCTACTAATGTTGGAATTTACGCAGCTATACATAACATCTACTTTGTAAAAAACATGTCAATGCTTGAAGAATGTTTACGAATATTATTCTTAGAAAACCTAAGTTACCTGGGAAACTTGATCACGAAGCCGTACCCATAACTGTACCCAACACATACCAGACACCGACACGTACCAGCCATCCCTTGGCCCACTTCCATCATGTGTCGTAGCCTCTAGATACCAACACTCATCGGATCTCATTAAATATACTCACATATTTATTCAGACATGTATCCAATTATATAATACATGCATTAATTTAAAACACTGGTCATATAATTCTTGGACGTTTATTCTACAGTTACATCAGCTTCTTGAAACTCGTTCCACATAGGTTGCATTCGTTGCAGTCCATACCCAGTTCAAAATTATGATCTAAAAGATCATTTTGGGATCTAGTTCAGAAACAAGTGATTTTCCAATCTATGATCTCCATAATAAAAGAAACATAAAATGATACATGAATTTAATCATAACATGTGAATAAAAAAATATTATTGACCTTATGCAAATTATTAATTTCAACATATGTATATATCCGTGAACCCGTACCCTATTTTTTTAATAAATTTGTCATAATATTCTGTACCAGCACCCACACCCAGTGTTCTAAATATCGGATATCAAGGACACGTCAGACTGAAAAATTCTATACCAGATGGAGGATATCGGGAATATGTCAGAGATATTTAATAAATATCGGTGTCATATAGGATAATGTGTGTATTCATACTTGATGAACTAAAATTGGAGCTATTGAGAAAGATTGTATCTTCTCTAAAACTTGTACCAGATATTTGTTGAGAAAAGATTGCATCTTTTCTAAAACTTAAACCCGAGAATTTGGCCTCTAACGAACCCTAATTCTTCTTCTGGATATTTGCATATGCAGATATTTGTTTGGTTTTGACCACCACTGAATCATAAATCCAAATCATTGTTTAAAACAAATAAAAGTCCAAATCCATATTGCAATGTTTTGGCTAATTTTTTTTAGGCCTATATGTCAAGTGATATAAGGAAAATCATGATATATCGCCCAAAAAATATTGAGACCATATTATTTTGGGGCAAACCTTATAAAAGGATTAATATCGACCATATTGGGGATATTTCTTCCAAATAATGCCAAAAGCAATAAAGGATATTAAGACCATATCGTTTTGTTGTGAGTCATATAAAACAACATCGGCCGATATATCAGGTACATCAGGAATATCTAAAGCAATGCCCATGCTTGTACCCGTACTCGTATCCATGCAACATAGAAGATAAAACTTGCATTACTCGTGCTAAAAATCTTGACTATGAATGATATGTTGCATCTGGCAAGCAGATATATCGACATTAAAAAAAAGAGAGAAATGAACCCGCTGAGTTAGAGGATTAGATACCTTTTAGATGGAGGCTCAACCTTCCACTCAAGCAGTTGATAACTTCCAAAAGTCTCTGGGAGGCGAACACGGTGTTCCGTTAAGCGAGCAATTATGCCCTACACATAACCAAAGCCACTATAAACTAAAAACCTGAGGATTTTATACAACAAGAACCTGAAAGAGAAATGATAAACTACCATTGCCGTGGTATTTGAAATGTAGTCAGAAGGTCCTGCTGGAAAAATAACCCATCTTATCAGGGTACTGTTTCCTTGTCTTGAGAAATTCATAAACTTTACCTGCAAATAATTTTAACATAATAATTTCAGTGAACATACATTTTACAATGCTTTGTTTCACAGTAAACTGTTTTTAATTTGCTACTGCACTGAGAACGGATATGATAAAAATAATGCAGGATAAACAGCCTTAACAGGTTTTTTCCCCCCATGAAGGCCAGTGCCATAACGATAATAGAGATATAAGAAAAACATATTATTGCATATAAGCAGAATCTGTCTCAATATATCAAAGTACTGGATGGATCAATTAACTGTCACCTGATGAGCATCGACTTCCAACTCATGAGCAATATGCTCTGCAAGTTCTGTAATGTGAGGCATCAGATTTGAATATGATACATTCAAAGACATGTCAAAGGTTATGAGTCCAACCTCGATTTGACCTGAGAATAGATAGTCATGAAAGCAAACTTAAGCATTCTAGTAAACTGAAATATATTTTCTCAAAAAACTAGCTTCTAGATTAACATGCTTCTCTTTAATGAGTTTTAGCCAATGGAAAATGAGAAACATGACATATAATTAGGCGTGATTGGTTTGGAAATACAGAAATATACAAGATGGTAAGACACAAATGATAGCATCAAACTGCTAAGGAATTATTATTCCAGTCATCAGGATATATTCCTTGCTGTGGAAAGAACAATCTTATGGAATTGCGTAGGAATTGTAATTCTAGTCGGTCAGGATTGACTCCCATTAATTATCAGATTACCCAACCTAGACTAGATTCAGCAGAAATATACATTTTTGACGAGATAATATTTTGAAAACTGTAATAAATCTGAAAATATACATTTGGCAGCATTTTTGATGAAATAAAATTATCAGAAAAGGTACCGAGAGATATTATTTTACATTTTCCAGCAGCATATAAGGAAAACTATAAACATAACTAGATTTATCACAAATAAATTTCTAAGTAGCAGCACAAAGTAAAATCCGGGAAGACATGTTGAACTAATTGATGGGATAACTGAAACTTGATGAGTTTGGAATCCATGTTGTTGTTGTACTGTTAGGAATATGGGTGCAAAAGCGACCATATTGGTACTAAGACACAACAAAATTTGAGAATACAGGATACAGTTGAGTCATGGATACGACATTAATAATGTTATGTATGTGAGTTATTGTCATAAACATGGATTTGTAAGATTGTACTAGTTAACAAACTACTAACAAAGGTAACATAAAATATTTTCAAAGCCATGTTAATCAAGAGTTACAAGAATTCATAGTAAGTGAAAACAAATATATAAGTGCATTTACTTATTAATTGACTTGAAAACTAATAACTTCTTCGTCTCAAATACATCTCTGGTTCATCTTCATAAGATTTTGTAACTTTTTTGTCTCAAATACATCTCTGATGCATCTTTCATGCACATGAAATATAAGTTTTAAGATATATTACGACTTAGGAGCATCCATCAAGTGCTAGGGGATCCAAGTATCAGATGGGTTTTCAATCATGGCCACTTTTTAAGAGATGGTGGCCACATCCACCAAGTGCTCCAGTATCCAGGTGTCAGATGCGGTTTTCAAATAATGATCGAGTGTTTCAGTGGATAAAACTTTGAGTGCTGTAGAATTAGAGTGTGGATAAGGCAAAACAATTGCAATGGAAAATGATGCCTTAGTCGAATCGTGTGGGTAAAAGACAACAATTTTACAATTTTTTCTACCTTACAATAATAGCAAATATGAAAATAGGTTACAATCTATCAGATCCAACAGATGGAAGAAAGTGAAACTTGATTCCAAAGAAATATGTTTGGGCACTATAATAACACTGCTGGAAATATGCGTGTACATACATACATGCGTACATGCATATTGACCGACATACACACATAGACACACAGGCACGCATACACACATATTACATACACGTGTGTGGCCATGTGGCGCGTTTAATAGTTAGAGGAAGTATCCCATATTTTCCTTTAAACATGGACAGAAATCTTTATCAAAGAAATAGGCATTACAGATATGGATATTTCACTAACGATGAACAGGTTCCTCTGGAATGCTGATGTCATGCTTGAGCGCTCTTGTTCATGAAAAGTGAATTCATTGATTTTCATTAATTCTTTAGGAGACAAATTTTCAAAACCAACCTCTTTCAACATTTATTTCCAAAAAACGACATCTTTTGCATTTATTTTCAAAAACCGACCTGGTTTCAGCCCTGGCGCTGAAACCAGGTCGGTTTTTTTAAAAAAATTCCGAAACTTCACGGGAGTTCAACTCCCGTGAAATTTTATTACTTAAACAAACTTCACGGGAGTTGAACTCCCGTGAAGTTTGTTTAACCAATAAAACTTCACGGGAGTTGAACTCCCGTGAAGTTTTAGCAGATTGTTAAAAATCTGCTAAACTTCACAGGACGTAGCCTTTGACTCTGAATGATTTATTCATCTTTCCTTGATCATTCTTGATGATCGATCGATTGATTTTGCCTCAGGATCATCGCCAGTTCAAGCAGAGGTACTATGACCTCCCTAATCATTTTCAAGCCCCTGATGGGCCCGTCTTCTTGAAGATATGCGATGAATCCACCTGCCCTAGGATTGCTAACGACTATCTATCTGTAAGTAAAGCAAAGCGTTTTCCCCCATTTTTATGCTCGATTGCTTGCCTCGCACTTAATTTGATGAGAGACTGGCCGTGATGATGGTTGTTGATTGTTCCGTGTTTTACGCGCCATCAACACTGTTGTTTTCATCTTCCTTCGTGATGCAGGTGTTAGTAAAGAAGTTCGGCGTTGCAAATGATTTTGCAAACTTCACGGGAGTTGAACTCCCGTGAAGTTTGTTTAAGAAATATAAGTTCACGGGAGTTCAACTCCCGTGAAGTTTTAGTAGTTAGTTAAAAATCTGCTAAACTTCACGGGAGTTGATTCAACTCCCGTGAAGTTTCAAAAAATATTTTCAAAAACCGATCTGGTTTCAGCGTCAGGGCTGAAACCAGGTCGGTTTTTGAAAATAAGTGCAAAAGAGGTCGTTTTTTGAAAATAAATGTTGAAAGAGGTTGGTTTTGAAATTTTGTCCATTCTTTAGGGGGAAAAGTTGATTCTTGAAAAGAAAGACAAAATATCTCTTTACAGCATTATAATCCATGTATTATTTCACATTCATGTTACTGAAGAAAAAATCACACTCGCATACACACACAAACATGTGTTATTGCATCCTGCACCTCTTAGACATATAAGTACCCATATGATATTCAAATCTTACACATTGTATCATTTAGATCATAATACATGTTTCCTAATGGAAACTACTGCATAAGCCTTTTAGTTCATCAAAATTTATATTAGAGACTATACGGCTCATCATGTTAAACCTACAATTTTCAGAAACTGGAAAACATCCATTTTAGAAACTTATTGAGCGAGCCATGCTTTCCAGTCACATAAAATAATGAGAAAATACAGAAAAGTAGTTGAACTGACAAGCTAAAGTAAGTAAGACGAAGCTTGCCGCAACAGAAAATTCCCTAATAGAGATTATAATCACATCTTAATGATTTTTCAAGTTTCATTGATAATCAGATTTAGCAAGTAAAGAACATATAACTTAGCCTCCATGTATGCATTAGTCTTGAAAAATGTATACCAACTTCTATGCTTTGTTCTTCATCTTGATGTATTAATTTGTATCGCAGTTATTTCTTTGGTCCTATATTGCAATGTCAGTATGTCTTGATTTGTATGTTATGCTTAACTATATTAGAATTGCCATAGGCAAGTAGCCAATATATATATATATATATATATATATATATATGGGAATGATGGGTATGAGTGGCGCTCATTTTGCTAAATAAGCTATCAAGAGATAGAGTGATCCGCGTCCACACTTGTGATGTGTGACTAGTAAGGTGAGTCTCACCGCATGGCTATTTTTTTGATAACTCATTAACAAAATGAGCCGCACCTCATACCTATTATTTCCTACACACACGTGTGTGGTGTGTATATAATATATATATATATATATATATATATATATATATATATATATATATATATATTATATATATATATATATATGTGTGTGTGTGTGTGTGTGTGTGGTGTATTAGCCTAAGTAGCATAGGATGGGTACGACATGGACACGTATCAAGTTGTTGTGTAACCCTGTAAACATGACCTAATTTTTGAAAAAACTGTATAATAACAACAACAACAACCACCACGACCACCACCACCACATCACCACCAACAAACAATAATAAAGGGACTTTTGAATACATGCATACGCATAAATGTTCATGTATACAAGAGTCAACAATTATTTCAGATAATATAAAGGGTTTTGATATTAGTCCCTTAAATCTTTAGTATTTTGATATTAATCCCTCAAATCTTCATATTTTGATATTAGTCCGCCAAATTATCATAATGTGTTGATATTAGTCCCTGTAGTTAATTGGTGTTATAACCTTGGGGAAATATTCTGTTAACTATAACTTTTTGGGCGGATTGACTATTACACCTCTCTAATTATAAACTCAAATCTCATACCCATTTAGAAACCTCACACCCGTTTAATCACAAACTCAAACCCAACTCATTTCAAACCCCTCATTTTCTTTCTTTCATCCCCTTGATTTCTAAATAAGTTACCCACCTCAACCTCTTTCCACTCTCACCTGTCACCTCCTTCAAACAAGAAGATAAATATAACCGAAAAAGTTCCCATCAAAAGAGCAATAAGCTCTTACATATGAGTACTCTCCAGAAATTTAAAACACCCTCATCTCAAGCTCATCCTCGGTGGTTACTTCTCCCTTTTATATAATCTTCATGATTCTAAGATCAAACTCTTCTCTCCTTCCTCTTTCATTACACAAACCATAGCAACAAAAACTCACTCATTCCCCTAACATAATGAACATCAACAATACATTCATACTCAAACATCCTAACCTCCATTGTAGAATCAACTTTTCATAAAGCTGCCTAAAACACCATCACCCAATAAACCATTAATAAGATCACAGTCTTCACTTGTAGCCGCATCAAGAAAAATCCCTAAAAGCCATCAACAAAGCTTCAACATCATATCGGGTTGAAACTATGAGCGAAGGAGGATGCGGGGGAAGGGAGAAGAGAAAGACACTAGGTTTTTGGGAAATTAAACAAGGGTTGCTTGTTTGATTACCCAACCATGGTTACCAATAATCTAACCATGGTTAAGTGATTTGTATGGCATATATATTAGAAGGACTCATATCATTATATCAACATATTTGGATGATTTAGAGGATGATTTGGGGGACTAATATCAAAATACTAAAGATTTACGGGACTAATATCGAAAAACCCCTAACATAAAACCTATAATGCTTAAATATACGTTATTTTTTTGAGCATGCATTGCTGACTTTGCAAAAGAAATATTAATTGGCTGTTCAATCTTGTACGAAATATTAGGCATAGCTAAACTTCTAATTTTAAACAAGTCAATGTTTTACAACACTTTTGCAATCAATTTACTTGATTTACTCCTTTCATTTTGATCTATATGATTTTGATGATATATAACCAAAACAATAAGCATATTGGGTTATCGTTACTCATGCATCAAGTGATTGTAAAACTAACTGTTTTACGGCAATACAAATAAAGAGAGAATGAAACATATGTGTTAGAAATATTAAAACATCATGACTTTTGTTTTATATATGTTTCGAGTTATTTAGATCATGATGAATAAAGCAGATCATCTATTGAAATTATTTAATCCATATGTCAAGAGGTGCATCCTTAGCTTAAAATCTAAGGTGTCTTCTTAGAACATATTTCCATGTTTGTGCGTGTGCGTGTGCACACGTGCGTACTGTGTGTGTCTAGAAGAGAATAATTGATATCCTTGTCATATGAGGGGATATTCTCTCATATGACCATGTATGACTCAATTTCCATCAGGCGAATAAAGGAGGAGAGAGAAACCCTTGTAACTATACTTAGTTAGGATTGGGTCACATTATGTTACTTGTGTACTCTTAATCGAAGCCATACATGTACCTAATATGTACCCGTACACATACTTGTACCCAAACTTCTCAGACACTCCTTGCATGTATGAATACATTTATTTGGGCATATCTCCCTTATGCAATATATGTTCTAAATTAAAACAGTTCCCATACACTTCTTGGACACATATCCTACGCTTCACATCCACTTTCTAAAACATGTTGGACACAGATCGGGTTTCAAGCTATTATTTTTAAGTGTCGTTTGGATGTCTAGTTCAAAACTGATGGCGTTCTAATTTATAATCCACAATCAACTCAATAAAAGGAAAATAAAAATACCATAAGAAGCTTAATTATCATAACATGTGGATGAAAAACAATATCGATCTCGTGTAAATTATAAATTTTAGTATGTAATGTATGTATGTGTATAAAATCCTCATCCCTTACATTTTACAAATTTGTTGTGATCTGTATTCGTGTTGGTTTCCACGCAACTTAGGCCACATCATTGTATACAAGAGAATTCTCTCATATGACATATGCTACCACACACACACATGGTTGGGGGGGGAGAGGAGTTTCGTTGGTACTAAGGGCAAAATTGGCTCTTAGCAATGAGGTGACTTCTAAATGTGCACATTTGAAAATGGACCATGCTTGGTTAATCATCCATCAAATAAGCGGACAAGAAGTGACCACCTCACTACCAAGGACCAAAGTAGCCCTCGGTACATAGTATACCCATATTCGAGATATGTGCGCGCGCATGCATTTGTGCGTCTGAGATCAAGAAAGGTATGTTATGTGCATATCCAATAACATGTATAATATAATTGAGGGCACATTTGAATAAGTGTATGTCATGTCCAACAAATGTCTATGGAAGTATCAGTGTCCGGTACAGGGGTCGAGTGATGTACTTGCCACATGGGTACAGTTTCAAGACAGAAGTATAGTGTTTGCAGATATATGATTATTTTACGTTCTAGCAATGGGGAAAGTTATTAGGAATAGATCTCCCTCAGTGTTAAGACATCAGAGTTGCTAAGACCACCTAACATGCTATGCTTATGTCCTATAAAAGTTTAGACAGCAGGTTAAAGTTCATAACATAGAAAAACAAACAGAAGGGATTCTGAACTGAGAAACAGGAGATTTGACAAAGGATATTAAAGAAAATTTAGAATGTTTTGGTCAATCTCTCATGCTTTTTGGAAGCTTCAAAATTCAAAATAGCTAAACTTGTAGAGGGCCTTTTGCAATAAACCTGGCACAAAATGGTCTTCAACTCCAGTAGGAGGCAAAGCTGGTCCCATTCCTTCATTTGAACTTGTATTAGATGAAGTTGGTCCTACTGGAGAGGTGGCATCAATATTCAGCCTCTTCCACAATTCAGAACAATTTGTTTTCCAAAATCCAATTCTTTCATTTTGGCGATCATAAGTTACCAGAGTATTGCGGACAACAATTCCTGTAAGAAGATAATATCATTTATGTCTCAGAAAAAAGAGAAGTTGAAATATGTGGGGGGGGGGAAACAATAGAATGAATCCTTAGAATTGGCAACATATTACAGATCTAGCAAAACAGTATTTACTGAAAATGAAATGAACAAGAATGAGCATAGATTATAGAAAATTGTAAGGAAGTTAACAGAGAGTAAAGCAAACACACCACCCAAAAGCGTAGTCTGATCTTTTCCATTCCTAAAGATTCCCAAGCAATAAGCACCATGAACCTTTGAATGCTTTATACAGGAATGGCACAGAAAAAAAGAAAATCATTAACAGTCATAAAAAATAAGGGTACCAGCATATGTAAAGCATAGATAAGCTTATCTGTTACCCGAAAAAGGTAGTTTTCAGGGGAAAGTGATAACTTCTCTCCCTTGCCAAAAACCATGTCAACTTTTGGAAAGGTGTCTAAGAGTTGGGAGACATCACTAGAGATAAGTTAAAATATCAGTTAGGTGGTAAAGAAGGTTGTGATGATAAAGTATTTTCAAGCTTACTAATCGCAACGAGTCGTACCTTCCCCCGCCAGAGAAACAAATATCTTTGTAATTTGGATCTGGTCCATCAATTTGTTTGAGAGACTGGAGGTTGCTCATGATCTTGGCAAAAGATAAAAATTCAGAAGGTGAGAACAAAAAATGTCCTGCTGTTTACCAATCCTAAAGAAAACTACTTATGTTCCTTAATAAAGGTTAAATTTATTTACTTAGTGACAACATTTAAGTATGAACATAAGATGGTTGCTTGTATCTTCCTTGTGCCTGAAAATGGCCTATGTTCTAAAGGAATAAAGAAAAACTGAAGAAATGTGTGCACTTGTATCATCTAGTTCAAGGTACTAAAACCTTTTTTCCATATCATAAATGAATATATGGCCTATGTTCAGAAGGGACAAAAACAAAATTTGAAAAAAATGTTTGCAATTGTATCATCTAGTTAAAGGTCCTAACACCTTTTTTGCATTCATAAACGAATATATGAATTCATGAAATCGTCAAAAATATAAATTCATAAAATCATCAAAAATATAAGATCTTATTCTCAACCTTAACCATAACCGAATCCCAAAAGAAGCAAATATAAAGTTAACTCTGCAACCAAGCAATCAGAAGAGTCAACTGTTATACTCTAGCATTAAGAAGGAAAAATAAAAGTCATCAACCAGAAAAAAGTGATTGCAAGACGGAATGGATATACCCTAGACTCTATAATGCCAGCAAAAAATGATGATGCTAATGGTAAATTCCTAAGAAACTTGTATAAGATTATATGCCTAAATATGAGGGGTTGTCTAAGTATCCCCAAAGCTAGACAATCAAAGGTTAGAATTGGAAGCACTAATAGAAAACTTGGGACCACTACTTACGACAGAAGTATATATCCACAGGAAAAAAAATTGCCAATGCATGCTACAGAAGTAATAGTATATATTGTCAAGAAAGAATTCTGCACATTATCAATCATTATGTCCAGCATCCATTTTTTATGGAGATTCTGGGGCAAAGAAATGACTGAGAACAGGAAGTACCGCTTTAAGAAGCTAAGACAGTCAACTTTTAGACGTACTTAAATCCATATCATCATAAAGCTAAGGACTAAACAGTTTATTGTAGTGGAAGAAAAGTCTTCCTTTCACCAACAACCCGATCGTTAAAACAAAGAACTCAAAAG